GAACCGTAAAGAAACCCTCGAAGGAGCATTTAATTTGCTCACCTAATGAAAATCTAAAATACAATAAAGATAATTAAAGTATTATTAATTTAAGATGCATAATCCTCCTGCCATGCGGGAGGTCTTCTCGGCCTAGAACTCCTTCGAACACATGTCTCTGAACCACCCGTCTCAGTCTCCTCATGCCATCCGTTTCCTTCCTCGGGTAGGAACTCCGTCTCTGATCCCTCGTGCAACCCACTGCCACCATCGGTTGGCAGCTCTTGCTCCAAAGGCTCATTCATAACATCTAATTCACCAAAAAATATTTACGTTTACTACTCTATGTACATGAACTCAAAATTTTTGACCAAGCCATACATTGAAATGGTCCATTGTTTTTATATTTTGCAAATGAGCATCCACATTTTTTTCCAATAAAGCTTGGGAATCTCATTTCACTAACTGCTTTGTATATTGTTGGTGATTTTAGTGTTATCGACTATTTTGTGTAATTGGATTAACTTAAAATCTTATAAGAATTTTAATAGACCTAGTTTGTTAGAGTTTATGAATTAGACTGTTTGACTATAATAGTTTTTATGCATCCCTTACATTAAGTTAAATATTTGTAGCTTTGTTCTACATTACAATGATGAATTTGTGTGGTGTTTATATTCGATATTTATTTGTGGTTGTATTAAATTTCTGTTATCCCACCCCATGTGAGTTATTCCACCACTTGTGAATGATATTTCTTCAGTGCTTATATGGTACATCTAGTTGTACCAAAAATAAGGTACAACTTGATAGTACTCATTTTGAAGTAAGATGGTACCCATTCTCATGCAAAAATAAGTATTCATTTGAAGTAACATAGTACTCATTTTGAAATAATGTAGTACCCATTATCGAAATAACGAAGTACTCATTTTCACACACTTGTTCAATATAATTATAATAAATAGCGTAGTGTTTATTCTTAAAAGAAGTGGTACTCATTCTCAAATAAGGAAACGCTCATTCTCAAGTAAAGTGTTGTTCAATCGTTTCACATTTGAAAATTTTAGTGTAATTAATCATACCATCATCACACCAAATCAATCAAATCTTCATCCTGTTTGCTGCAGGCACCTTCCTTCCTCGATTTCGTCAGATCTGCAAGGGTAGGACAGCCCAATTCAGTCGGATCTTCCTCCCAAAAATCACGCAGCGCAAATTTCTGATCGGATCTCGTCTCCCAATCATCGATCATCATCATCGTTTCTTCCACGATCCACATCGGTTGCCCTAAGAATTGCTCTGTCCGCCCTTTATTTTCTGATCGACGCGCGGCTTTCCACTAATTTCTACCGGTTGCACAGTTTTTTCCGTAAAGCCAGTTGTAGGATATAATTTGTGGTATTTTGTCATACAAAATCTTTGTATCTCCAGGCCGGATACAATAGAATCTGGGATCTGCCTTTTTCTACATTTGCTACGGATCTGCGATGGCAAATACTTTCCGTCACAGATTTTCTTTCCCGTGTAGGATAAGATCCTTGTCGTAGAAATAGTTGCAAAATACTCCCTCCATCCCAAAAAGTCTTTCCTGTTTCATTTTTTGCGCATCTCATAACACTACAAAAAACTCCCGGAATTGGCACCGGAATATTAGGCACGGACATGCCGTGACTACGCCGAAAAAAAGAAAGTAGCCACATGGCGTGTTTCTATTTGCGTTTCAATTTGGATTAGCATTTTTCCGTGCCAATAGCGTAAACGTTAAGAAGTTAACGGTGTTGTCGTACGGCATTTATTCTAACCAATAGGCACGGATTTAGTTGTTCCAATTCCCTTCCTTTCTCATAAAATTCAAAATCGAAAAGGACAAGACTGTTCTGTCATGGAAATAGCCGTGCCTAATTTCGATCCTAGACAAAAGCCTGACACACTTGCAGAGGCATTTAGTTTGGCACGGAAACCGCCGTGCCTACATAAAAGCCCAATAAATTCGTTTTATGACATGCTATTAATGCACCCCTACAAACGAAGAGTTCATTTTGTTTGGCACGGACAGGGCCGTGCCTATGCAATTACCAAAA